CTTTAATGCTAAGCGGGACGTTGAGCAACTTAATATAATATTAAGTATAATATAATATGAAATACTGGTTTTGTCAAAAGGAGAAAGTTCAGTCATTTATAAAAAATTAAAAAATTAAAAAAAGCCTCTTAAATGTAAGCCATGCGTTCATCACACATGTTTTCCCATGTGCGGAACAGCATAAATTTACATCGTTTCTGTCTTCACCTAAAACAAAAACAAAAAAAAAAGAAAGAAATGTGAATAGTGTCATCTCAACAAGATGACTATGTCTAGTGGTGCGATAAAAAAGCCTTTGCAAAACCATATTTACAAAACATGAAACAAAAGTACAAATTGCTCAACATTTGAGTTTTCTATGTATGCATCATAAACAATGTCTGTATGGCGTAATTTATTTTCTTAGTGATTTGGGGTCTTGAATTTACATGGTGATATATGCACACTTCATTATTTCTTTTCATTTTGCCAGAGTGTGGAACATTATTTACCATTATTAAAGTTGATGAAATGAATCAATGTATAGCTCTCAGTGCAATAGTCAGATGCGATTCAGTTGTAACAGATTAAGTGTAAAACTTAAACTAAAAGCATAACTTATTTTTCGTGTTGATGCTTTGTGTAAACTGAAATCATAGATAGCTGTAAAGTTGCATTGCAAGAAATATCAATTTAGTCAAACACTCTCAAGCAGAAATACTATCACTTAAATTCTTAATTTACATTTATTCCTATAAACACTGAATGTTGACAGTTCTCAAAGAAGAGTCCAACAAACAAAATATTTTAACAAAATATCTGAATAAGACGAATAACACTAGTGGAGTGATAAAAACACTACTTACAAAACAAAATGTACCAACTTTCACATTTGTTCACAAATGGATTTTGTGTATTTATTATAAATCTTGCTTTTCAATGTATGCTGTGCCCTCTTTTCTTACTGATTTGGTCTTTTGAATCTTACAGATGTTTTTTGGACACACATACAGTAACTATATAAAGATTATGTTTGAAAGTTATTCAAGAGTGTGAAAACTATGTATCACTGCGGTGTGAAATACCCCCTGTCAAAATATGTTAGCGTGTAAAAATACGCACAAAGAGTTTAGCAGTACTATTTACACACACACACATTGTTAGCGTGTAAAAATACACACAAAGTGTTTAGCAGTACTATTTACACACACACACACACACACACACATTTTTGGAGGATGTGTAATAGAGCTCATCTCTTTAATTTTGTGCTGGATGTTTAAAGTGCTAGTGACTTCTATGATGTTTTGTAGCATAAAGATTTATCTGGATCACTCAAAATAAAGTTTTGTTTTCTGACCTCACAGAGATTACACTAAGATTTGATTTCTTGACTTTTGCTTGTTTGCACTGTGCCCCGGATCTTAGGAATCAATGTGTGGTTGTTACACACCTCAGGTATAATTTGAAATGTAGGTTTGTCAAAAGAAAAAGGTTCAGTCATACATTTTCTAGCGAAAATTGTGTTTTACTCGTGTGAGTAAACTGCTCGGCTACAGTTCTAATACCAGTTGCTGGTTATCAGTCTGTTTTAAAGAATACAATAAAGTAAAAGTTTTATTTAAAGAAAATAGACAACTTTCCTTGCTTTTTGTGGCAAACAAATGTATAAATGTCTGAACATTTAAAATATCTTAGTTTGAAGTAAAATATGTAAATCTGTTGTTGTTTTGCAACACACACACACACACACACACACACATACACTATGTGGTGGGGTAAAAACTAAAACATTTTCTTTAAAAAATACTAAAATAACAAAAATTGATATACACTAAAAATGTTTTTTGTGTGCGAGCCCAGAGAATCACCAGAAAAGCTTTTGATGAAGTGTCATTCTTTAAACATCCAGCCTAAGCAACTGTCGTAAAACCATTAACAAACCCCATTTAGGTTGCACTCTTCCCCCGCCAGTTCCACTTGTAAACACCTTAACTGTGATTTTAGAAAAATGTTTTGATTCTTTGTCTTAGGTAACATAAACCTATAGTTCAGGTACTACATCCTACTGTGGCACACACACACACACACACACACACACACACACACACACACACACACACACACACACACACACACACACACACACACACACACACACACACGTAGGGCTAATGGTATTCCTGAATGCCTTGACTCAAATGTTTTGACTCAATTAACATATAGGCTACCCTACAACAAAGGTTTTCAACACTCAGGGTGCCACCATTACGTGATACCTGCTTGGGTGAATTTCCCCCCCAACAATCAAAGGAAAATACAATCAGCAACAGTTTCCCCCCAGCTGACTGGAAGGAGCCCAGATTTTTGTTGACACATGGAGTCTCTGTCAATCATGAGTGACAAGGGGTGCCTAAATCTACCAAAAGATGGTCATAAAATCAAACAAAAGGTTTTTTTTTGTCTTTTAAAAGTTTCCCGGATCTCACCAAAGGAGGATGTCACACGGCTCCAAACTTCCTAGACATACAGGAGCCTGTCAGCTACCACCGTAAATCAGAAACACTGTTTTCTTGATACAAGAACACTACGACAGTTGACAGGCACACAACTCTGTACCAACATAGGGTCATAAATCAGTCAAAAAGTGACACATGGTTTATGTTAATACTACTGTTGTCAATCGATTGTGTAAACACTATGGAACAGCTGATCGGAACGTGAGCACTGTTGACGTTGACAGCAGCGCGGATTGATAGAAATGGATATAAATAGTGCCGATTAAAACTGAGGTATGAATTTTGACCGGCGTGTTTTTTGTGTGGTAAATGAATCAAGCTTTGAAACGCAAATCATTTTTTCACGTAAAAACGCACAGTTTTTTGACCCCGGAAAATAACCGCGAGTACTTCATTGAAAAACTTCCAGCGGCCAGAACTCTGACCAGGGAGGTGACAACAGAGTGGGTCAGTGTGTATGCACTATAGTGCTGGTAAGGATTGCATACAACTTCATGTCTTAAATGGGCGAACTAACCCTTTAATGATCTGTTAAAGGGGTCATATAATGCCATTTTCATACAAGTTAATTTGATTCTTTAGGGTCTAAATGAAAAGGTTGTAATATACTTTAATTAAAAATTCTCATTAGTATTGTAAGAAAACACTCATTTGTAGGGTATCTGGACTGTGTCAGTTGAGACTCATTCAATTCTACAATGTAAAAAGCTTTTAACATTTGACTTGCGTCTAGTAATTCTCCAGCGAGCGCCAGAAAGTCTGTTCCTAATGGCGTTCCTTGACACCTTTATGGCAGGCAAATGTGTACACCACACACACACAAAATACACGGACTCTCTATGAAACTTCCCCCACAAATGAAGTCAACACTGGCAGAACTCGGTGTTCTGTTACAAGACTGATGAATTTTACGACCCAAAAGAATGTGCAGGGAATTGTCTCCTAATTCTTGCTGAGAAGAAGAAATGAACCCTTTTTAATCCTATATATTCTAGATATATATAACCATGGGATAAATGTATTAACATGCATCTAATGTTCCATCTCATGATTTTCCTGTATGTTGTTGGGTCTATGTTTCTTGTAAACTCTAATGGGTTAATGTTCCAGACTTTGCATACTATGGTTAACGTATGTGTGGCATCTTTGGTCTCTGGTACTTTGAAGATCGAAATGACTGTGTACATGATATGTCGATAACAACAACATATTAGTATTACAAGAATCTTTCATAGTTTCTTCATCACCGCCGCCACCCCCCATTAATGTTTTTTAATGATTTATTAATGAAAGTCATTAGTGTTACGTTGCTGGTGCAGTAATCATTAATGGTTTAGTTCTTCGTGAGTCATACATTAACATTATGGATTAGTTAAGCATACATTAATGTAAATTGTAATGGTAAATTGTAAAGTGCTACCAACCCTACTTTATTTTTACCTTGAGAAAATCATCTTTGCTTGTTCATTTTGAAACATTTCAACAAATTGCAGAAGACAGAAATAAGCACCAATTTTATTTAATTAACTTGTTGCCTGCTGATACAGAAAACAGTTTATTTTGATTTTTATTTTATTTTTTTATAAAACCAGTTCATTCTAAATCTTCTTGACCGTTATGCACATAATTTAACCTGATCTCAGGTTAACATGAAACACTGATATTGTCTCGACTTGCACAGCAGATGCGAATTATTTGCCATTGTTTCTTCTATCCATTCCAGGTAGTTCTGCACTATAGTGTAAACCTTTAGAGCCACATCTTTCAGGACCCCATGACACAATGCCCCTCACCTCATAGGGCTGCTCTTTAGTTCCATAGCTCAACATGGGGAAGAACAGAGGACCCCCACTGTCACCTTTACAACTGTCAACACGTTTAACATCGTCTCCAGCACAAAACATGTTATCAGTGACAGGCAGATTCCCTGATTCACACTTATCAAGAGTATATTCCTAAACAATCCCATAACGTAAAGTTTTACTTATTAGGCCCGGTCAAACCCTCCAAAACCTGATGTAGTACCCGTCGTGCCCTCCATTACAAGTTCATGTGTTTTGTTTGGCAGACACACTGGCCTGATGTTTGGACCGAGTGGAACCTGGGCAGACATTTTGATCAGAGCAATGTCATTGTCAAAGTTTGTTGGAAGTTCACCCGGACCAACCCTATGATAATTGGGGTGAATTATGATCTTCTCGGCCTCCATAGTGACTGGGTTTTTGTCCTCATTATTAATTATTCCTCCAAGCCAAGTCATGTTGTCATTTTCATATCCATCCACTACATGAGCAGCTGTTAGAGCCCAGTAATCACTGATCAGTATACTGTCCGCAGGTTGTTGGATGTTCGCCCTCGAGGTCGCGGTCATCAGTTCCTGGTCGATTGGGAGGGATACGGTCCTGAGGAGAGAAGTTGGATCCCCGCCCGGGACGTCCTGGACCGCTCGCTCATTGATGACTTCTATCGCTCTTGTCAGACTCCACCTCTGGCTTATGTAAGAGCTGCCAGGGAATCTGCCCCAGTCTGGCTGGCTTCCCACCAAAGACTCTGCCACCAGAAGAGACCTCTGTATTCATTCCACACACTAAAACATATATATATTAGGGCTGTAACGATACGCGATATAAAATCGATTCGCGATTCTCAGGTTCACGATCCTGTATCACGATGTGAGAAGGCAGAATCGCGATCACACCCCTTCCAACTCCCAGATTTATCCTTCCTGTCCAGAACCAGGGCTCGAATTTCGGCGCGGGATTGCGGGTATTGCGCATAATTCTAATCATTCCCGCAGGTCTCCCATTTATAATGCGGGAAATTCCCGCAATCGTAATCCACACAGATAATAAAATCAAATCATTCTTTTAACAACTATCTTCCAGACGCAATTTCACAAACAGCGTGAGTGTTCAGCGGTGCCGCGCGTCTTCGATCTCTTCTCATAATGTGTTGTGCAAGGCAGACATCGAGCGCTGCGGCGATAATACACACTCGCGTTTTGGAGTCGGGACCATAGACTGTAAGGTCGGGACATGACGGAATATTCACTTGCACAATCGGGCCAGCAGTGCATCGTGACTGAAGTCTTTTTAAGTCTTACCAGTTTAAACAATCAAGCGATTTTAAACTAATCAGTGCTCGCGCGCTCTCTGAGATTATTTTCTATGCGCACATTCATAGAAAATCCGCCTAAAAAACAGCTGGCCAGTAACTATTTTTCGCGGACTATATTGCTTTTCCTATATTGCAAAATTGTCAATTTCGGTCTTTGTGAGTAGGCTATACTCTAAATATAGTCGGTTTTGTCTTTAATAATCATAAAACGCATGCAGTATAATGAACACAGGATCCGTGCACTAGCTCTTAAAGTGACGGCAGCCATATGTGTCTGTCATTAATTTTGTTGTCAAAACAACAAAAGATGGCTTTAAGTTAAAGGAATCAGGATTAATAGCCTATGTATTTAATTTATTCAGGACTAAAATACTACCCAGTGTTATTTTCCATTTGATTACTTTATTCAGTATCTGTATATGAATACTAGTGTTAGACCTATTCAAAAACTTTTCTCTTTAATTGTCTTTATTTGTATCTTTATTCTATTGTATTTATTTGTGCTACTTTTTTCAATTTAATTAAACAATTTAAATCAAGCTTCCTTGTGATGTGTAAATTCTTAACAACAATATTACCCCATTGTAAAAATGCAATGAGCACAAACATTTAGGCAAGATAAATGTAATAATTTTGTTTGGAAAAAATGACCGAAAGTGCATTAAATTAATCCTCAATTGACCGGCAACACGTTTAACATGCAGATGCATATCCTACGGCACCATCCCGAAATCAATTTAGTTGGAGTACAGAACACAACCCAAAAGTAGCAGCCTACACTGCCTAGTATAGTTTAATCATTTGCATAGTTATTATTGTTCTTTGGTGTTTAGATTATACAGGTTTTTCCTAATGTTATTTAATAAAAATACCGGTATTTTTTTTCTTCTCTCAAAATCTATTTTTTTTCACCACAAGCCCCGCCCCCTCAAGCCCCGCCCCCGTGATAGAATCGCGATAGGAATCGAATCGTGGGTTTGGTGTATCGTTACAGCCCTAATATATATATATATATATATATATATTTATCAAAATATGCGTAATGTAAAATAAAGTTAAATAACAATAGTGCAAAATGCACAAGTACAAAATAATATAAATTCTCTTTTTATCTGTCTGTCAAGCCATTATTATTACCAGAATAACAAGGAGGAATAACAGCAATGTTGTTGTCTTCTGTCCATTTCCGGTCATTTGCACACTTGTATCTTACTACACAGGAGAAAGAAAGAAAGAAAGAAAGAAAGAAAGAAAGAAAGAAAGAAAGAAAGAAAGAAAGAAAGAAAGAAAGAAAGAAAGAAAGAAAGAAAGAAAGAAAGAAAGAAAGAAAGAAAGAGAAAGAAAGAGAAAGAAAGAAAGAAAGAAAGAAAGAAAGAAAGGTAATTAACAGCCTTAATAGTCAGGATTTGTCAGTCACAAGAATACAATTGGGTTTTGTACAGTATCCGACCTTTAGGAGTATCCTTAAATCTGTAGTAAGGCTCATTGCAGCGATACTCTATGACAGAGAGATATGCGTTGTGTTCTCCACTGATAAATAAATTCTCCACTGGGGGGGGGGGGGGGGGGGGGGGGGTAAATAAGGTAAATAAAGTAAATAAAGATAAAGATTTTCATGTGGTGTAATGTAAGCTCCACCCCTGGCTCTGTCCGTATATGTCAGAAAAAAGCACGCGGCCATCTTTAGAAAATTGTCTTTGAACTTCCATTTTTGCGGTAGCTCTGTATATTTCAATGGCATCGTTGTTGAAAAGTAATTAGCAGGTGAAGTGGATTTACTTATTGTAGAGTTAACAAAAGTCATAACATGGAAGTCATAACAAATGTTAATGGACGTAATAACAAATGTCAGTAGACCGGGAAGTTTATTAATTGTTGTCTTGTTGTCTTACTATTTTAATTAGCTTTTTTCGGTTTTCATTTGCATTTTAGTTTAATTTGTAGTAATTTTGTTATGTGCTTTTGTCACTTTTATTAGTTTAAATCATATTAGATAGAACAGAAATTAGAAATAATCTATTTAAAATCATGACTGAAAAAAAGTCATAGAAAACCCGCACCGGCAGGAGAGGAGGAGGGAACAATAGTACCAGCATCAAGCGATTCAGAGAGATAATTCTCGAGCGTCTCGCACTCCGGTCCAGATAGCGAGTGAAGTCTCCAGCGAGGAAGAGAAGTTCCCGGAAGAAGGTCGATACTGTTGTCATATGGTCGATGGGAGGGAGAGAAGAAGCCCGGGAACGACTAAAAACCTCTCGCAAATCGTGATATTCCTCTGGCACTCCCGACAAATCACCTGGCTCTTCCTGAAACACAGACACAGAAGACACAGGAGGGACAGCAGACACTAAACATTTAACATGACACGACAATTTCCAGGAGAGCTAGTTCCTTTGAACCAATTAATCTGGGGGTTGTGTTCTACGAGCCAGGGATGGCCCAAAACCACGGGAGTAAATGGTGAATGAAAAATTAAAAAAGAAATAGTCTCTCGATGATTGCCAGAGACGGTGAGACTCACCGGAATGGTAGCACGACGAACATGAGAGAGAACGCAACCATCAAGTGCATATACCGAGGTGGCCTCCTTCAGATCGAGCGCCCAGGTCTCATCAAGGAAACTCCCTTCAGCACCAGAGTCGATCAAGGCTTGACAAGAGACAGCAGCACCCGGCCAGCGGAGGTTGACCGGAAAAGTAGTGCGAGTAAGTGATGGAAGGTCTACGGCAGAAGCGCTCACCAGTAACCCTCTCTCTACTGGTGAGCGTTGGCTTTTAATTGACAGGATGAGACGAAGTGATCTGCCGACCCGCAGTACAAACAGAGACTATTAGTAATTCGTCGCTGGCGTTCCATGGCGGTGATGCGGATTCCTCCCAGCTGCATAGGTTCGGAGTTGGAGCTAACGAAGGGAGAGGAAGCAGAAGCAGGAGTGGAGAAAGGAGTCTTCTCCATGTTTCGTGCTCGGCGGCGTAATTCGGCGTAAAGCGCTTCTCAACGCAGATAGCCAGGTCGATAAGGGGATCTAAGCAAGAGGGAGTTTCACGGGAGAGTACCTCGTCCTTAATGTCAGCATTCAAACCCTCCAGAGAGCGTGCGACTAAAGCGGGTTCGTTCCATTCACAGGAAGTGGCGAGAGTACGAAACTCAATGGAGAAATCTGCGGCGGACCTCTTCCCTTGACGGAGTTTGGAAAGAAGACGCAAAGCTTCAGATCCGTGAGCAGAACGATCAAACACTCGAATCATCTCCTCCTTAAAGTGTGCGTAGTGATCCAGACAGTCGGCTTCAACGTTCCATAAAGCCGTTCCCCATTCACGTGCTCGTCCCGTCAGCAGCGAGACCAGGTAAGCGATTCGGGAGCGATCCTTGGAGTAAGTCGAAGGCTGTAGCAAAAATACAACCTCACATTGGGTTAAGAAACTCGGTGGGCTGACCAGCATAGCAGGGAGGATTGTTGACTCGGGGCTCGTGAATGTCGGAAGTTCTTGGTGGTGGCGGGTCCACACGAAGATAGTGAAGCTGCTTGGATAAATCAGTAACCTGGGCGGCCAGAGTCTCCACGGCGTGACGGGCGGCGGATAACTCCTCTTCATGTCTGCCCAGCATAGCTCCCTGCATCTCAAAAGCAACCTGAAATGGATTCTCCTTCGCTGGGTCCATGGTGGCCAGATTATTCTGTCAGAGGGGACCAATCTCAGCATTCAGTAGCAGGACAGCTGGGCAGAGCACAAGTTATCACAAAATTCACAAATGATTGTAGAATGTAGACGAGTAGGCAATGAAGACCAGATGGGGCAAGACAAGACTCGATAGAGAACGATCACGAACGTGTACAAAGTTAATAATCTGGCAGAGGACAAAGGAGAGAAGGGAACTAGAAGTAGAGAAGCTAATCATCAGAGAGAAAGAGTGGACAGGTGTGGAAACGAAGATACTGATTGCATAGGGAGATGAGGAACAGCTGAGTATGAAAGAAAGCGCGTGTGTGCGTGAGTGTGTGTGTGTGACAGCGGGGAAGAAAGAGAGAGAGGAAGATACCAGGATCATGACACCAACAGCCTGGTAGACCCAAGTGTGACTCATGAGTCGTCCGTCAGAAAAACCAGCTGGAGACGATTACCGGGAGCCAGGATAGGCTTTTCACCTGGGTGAAACCTGTCGGTGGAATTCTGACCGCAGAACTTCCCCAGAACCTTCTCATCAGACACAACCTGAATATAAATGAACCACATGTGCTGAAGTATTAGAAATTATACATCCTGCTAGATAAATGACTAAAGCCAAATGACAGAAGTCACATAAAGACATTTTCAATTCTAATTCATAGTGAAGAGTATGACTTTCTTTGGAGACATTTCCCCGCAACACAGTATAAGGTATGAATTGTGCAACATATCCACATGATACTGAAAATCTAAGTTGAAGCATCACTAACCGAGACCGAATCGTAGTAACAGTTTGGAGAGGGCTCAATGTCCAGGTGATTGAATGTTAGCTGGATCTGGTATCCTTGAGGCACTTCCAGGTCCCACTGTTCTTGGAGATTCTCTGGATACGGCTGAGAGTACTGTGGAGAAGACACTTCTCCAAACATGGCCGACTTGCATTCACACACATTCACACATGCCCACAGCAGGCTGGATCAGTGTTTATGTAAAATACAGAAAAAGATCATAATTGTGTCTTGCTGGAAGAATTCAGTAAATAGACACAGGATGTTCTGAGATGGCTAAGAAATGTTGATGTGCACCAATGATTGTTGTTAAATGAACAACACAATTAAATATACATATGTTGTAATATATGCAAATGTTAAGAGTTAAAGGAGCTGTATGTAAGAAATGTATTTCAATTAATCATAAAATGGCCCTGATGTGTCTCTAGACATTAAGAAATCATGTTCATTTCAAATACTTATATCACTGACAACAGTAGTATGGCTAGGATATTGTCATTTAAAAAGTGAAGTTGCAGCCCTCAACTGATGTTGATGTTGTCATCTTGTGTTTTGGCCTGAAGCCCCACCCTCCACCTATCTACCAATCACGAAGTCAGTAGTGTTTCGGCATCCGGGTTGCCAGCTCTGCTCTAGTTGAAAGCTCCTTGTAGCAGCCTACGTTCCTGCTGGATCCTGCAGCCTATCTGGCAACCTCGAGTCAGGGGGGAGGGGGAGGGGATACACCGCTCTACAGTAATTTGAAAGTGATTGCAGTACCAGTTTTGGCCACAATCTTACATACAGCTCCTTTAAATCTAAAAACAACTTACCAAATTATTAGATGCATTCCATCCATAACAGATATGCAGATGTCAATAACTGTTTCACTACCTTGATTATTCTTGTGATAAAGTGTATGTGGTTAACAATCACATATGAGAGAACAAGAGTCTAAAAGTCATCAAAAAAGGTAAACTTGTTTGATTTGGCTATGGCAGAAAAGAGAGAGAGATGACTACTTTTCCGGTAAACCTTGCTGCGTTTTAAGTCTAAGGGTTAAAGTCTACACAGATCATTTTCATGCATCTTTTCTTTACAGAATATATGTTTCCGTCCATCAGTTACAAAGAAAGTGTTTGTCAATAAAGCAGTTTTGAGGAAATAAATCATAATTTATAAATAATTGGTGTTTAGGCATCGCAGGTGGGCAATGAGTTTAAAAGTCACAATAAAAATCACTTAACAAGCTGGATTATTCGTGGAAAAAACATTTTTTACAAAAGAAACTGAATGTCTTTACATGTGAAAATTATTTTATTAGGAGTATAAAATATGAATCGTTAATGATAATAACAGATCAGATGTATTAGATAAACACTATGATGTGCATTATAATAACAGCATGGTGTAGGTGAATATAATTTTAGTACGCTGATGTTAGTTTTTTTCCATGGTTTCTTTGATCCAATCCAGGTAGTTTTGCACTTTAGTATAGTAGCCCTTGAAGCTTTTATTTCCACATCCAGGAGGACCCCATGATACAATGCCTGCGAGACGATAAGGCTTGTCTGGAGACCCATAGCCCAGAACAGGGGAAAACAAAGGACCTCCACTGTCACCTTGACAACTGTCTATATTATCTCCTCCAGCACAGAACATGTTATGAGTGACAGGTAAACCTCTTGAATCACATTTATCAAGTGAATATATCTCAACAAGTCCATGAAGCAGATATCGACTCATTTTTTCTTCCATTCTACCAAAACCTGAGATTGTGCCCTCCGCCACAAGTTCATCTGTTTTGTTTGGCAGACACACTGGCCTGATGTTTGGACCGAGTGTCACCCTGGAAGACATTTTGATGAGTGCAATGTCATTATCAAATTTGTTTGGTTTTACATTTTTACCAACTTTCTGATAATTTGGGTGAATTATGATCTTCTCTGTCTCCATAATGACTGCGTTTTTGTCCTGACCATCAATTAGTCCTCCTAACCAACTCATAGTGTTGTCTTCATATCCATCTACCACATGAGCAGCTGTTAGAGCCCAGTAATCACTGATCAGAGATGCACCACCTCTGGGAGTTGA